GGGCCCCGCTTCCTCCCGTCCAGGTCTCAATCAGCGTCTCCGCCCCTGCCGAGCTCTTACCTGCGTCCCGGGCCGCGCTTTCCGAGGAAGCCCCGCGCCCCTCCTGGCCAAAGTGCGCCGCGAGGGCCCGCCCACCTCGCTTTCATTGGCCAGAGCCTCGCACTGCTGTGATCCTATTGGTTCCTATTCGGCGTGAAGGGGAAGCCAGCTAGCGCTCAAAGCGTCACGTGATCGAAGGGTCATGTGACCGCACCCGCCTTACCATGGGGTCCGCGGGTACTTAGAGTTTGCTGAATCCAGCCCTAGTAGGAGCTACATTAGTGGCTGGGGTGGGGCAGGGGTGCCCGCTTCTACTCGGCCAGCTTTTCTTTCTACTTGGCCAGCTCGGATTACACGCCCGCTCACCTCCGTGAGGGGAAGAAACTCGCTGGGCGGGAGGTGAACAACCCAGACAGCTTCCTCAAGCCCAAGGTGGGAGCTAGGCTCAGGACAAGTCCACGTTCAGGGGCGAAGTCGCGTGCCGGGCGCTGGAGGCAGGTGAAGGGAAGAGATAGGAGGTCGGCTCCAGGTGAGGAAGAAGAGATTTAAAGCCTGCTTCGCAGTTTGCTGCGTGCCATACCCCAGTGGTCTGGGGGGCTGAGGCAAGAGGATCGCAAGGTTTAGGGAGACCCTGTCTCAAAATTGAAAAAGGGCTGGATGTAGCGTAGTGGGAAGGTCCTGGGCTCAGTCTCCACTGCAGAGACAGACAGGAACAGATTGAAATTGAAATTCGTTTTGGGAGATTCGGTGGAGCTGTCTGGGGCGATTCTGAGGGCAGGTGGATGGGGTTTGGAGAATGACTAAAGAGAGACAGAGGTGCTGGAAGAGTCCAGGAAACCAGAAGTACCGGGGAGTGTGCCTAGAAGGGAAGCCTGGGAAGGGATGAGGGCCACATTCAAGGTCAGGATAGGGGGCTGCTGGATGGGAGCAGGCCTTGAGTGGAAACGGCCTTCCGCTCTGGGTGGTGCTGACTTTTAGGAACCAACACGGTGGAGGGGGGCTTTCTGTTCAGAGCAGATCAGCCAGGCCCGGAACCTGACTGCTCAGTGCCAATGGCCTGGGGCTGGGAGAGATGGGAGACTCACCTGGAGGGAGGAGAGGCCCAGGACAGCTGTGCTGGGGCCTGGAAGAAGGCAGCGCTTGCTTCTTCAGGGAGGCTGAGAGCCCTGCTGGCACAGCAGAGAGCTGGAGCTGAGGACCAGGCTGGAGCAGGGACGGATTGCCAAACTGAGGTTTGGGGTGCCTGGGTGGGAGGAGCAAAGAGATGCTGAACTGCTTGGCAGGCCTCTTAGCTGGGAGCCACTGAGGGCGGCAGAGTGGAAGCACTTCCTGCGGGGAGTCCAGGCTGACCGCAACCTGGTGAGTTTGTGCAGATCCTAGCTTTGTGGCTTCCAAGGCCGAGGAGAGTCACTTATGCTTTCAGTGACACACACACGCACACTTAAAATTTTCACGGAGTGGTAGACAAGTCAATAAATAGAAGCAAAATATACATGCAAAAAAAAAAACCCTAACGTGACCAAAGCACTAAGTCTAATGTTCACAGCAGTGACTCCCACCCGAGGTTGATTCTGCCCACCAGCAGTACCAGCAAGGTCCAGAGTCAGTCTGCTGCTGGGAAGCTCATGAGCCCTAAATATCCTTGAATGCACAGGATGCCATCCTGCCCTGTGTGCCCACAGTACTGAGGTCTCTGTTCTCCAGCTTTCCTCACTCAGGCTCCCTTCTCTTGGCTCCACACACTCAAGGGAGTGGGAGTTACAGGGGATCAAACCCAGGGCCTTATTCAGGCAAATGCTGTACCACTCAGCTACAGCCATGTACCTTTCAAAATTTTTATTTCAGAGAAGACCTTGCTGAGTTGCCCAGGCTGACCTCAAAACTTGCAATCCTCCTGTATCAGCCTCCTAAGTAATCTTAAGGGATTATAGGCATATGCCACTCTATCCACCTTATTTTATACACATTTAATAAACTTCATTGTCTGAGTTCCCTCTGACAGATTATAGAAAGATCAGAGAGCTGGGAGTGTAGCTCAGTGGTGGAGCATTCGCCTAGCACCAAAGAGAAAAGTACTGGGGTATGTGCATGGAAGTTTCTAGAAACTGTCACTTTGAGCAAAGGTCAAAAGCATTCAATAGGAAAAATTGCAAAAAGCAGGTTGAATACCTGAGAGGTCCTGGGCAGGGGATGTAGCTCAGTGGCACAGTGCCTGCCTGCCTGGCAAGCGTGAGCCCCTGAGTTTGATTCCCCGTACAAACAAAAACAAAAACAGGTCCCGCATACTGGGGACATCGGTTGTAGGAGTGAACTGCCTTGCCCGCATCCATCTCTCTGTTGTGTTTTTGTTGTCTCATTGGCACCTGCGATTGAACTCAGGGCTTGTGCTTACCAGCAGGTACAGTACCCCTGAGCCTGCTTCCCCGGCCCCTTGTTGTTTCTTGAGACAGGGTCTCCCTATGTAGCCCAGGCTGACCTCGAGCTCGCAGTGACCCTCCTGCCTATTTGTGCCTTCCCTGTGGCCTGCAGTATCCCCACACGCCCACCCCAGGTCAGCCTGGCACTGGGTCCCCAGACCGGCTTACAGGATGGGACTCTCCGAAGCCCTGACGTGTACTCTGCTCTATACCAAGGCTATGGCAGCGTCCCACACCATCCTGGCCCGCGGCTCCCAGTGCACCACCAGCCCCTGCTGACCCCCGCTGGCCACGCCAGGTAGTCAGAGCTGCTGCAGTGTGGGCTACCTGTGGCTTTCCAGGGTTCTCTCTCTTCCTCCTCCCCTGCCTGCTTTCTTGTCCTGATCAGTTTTAAACATGTAATTAGACGTCTCCGGCCCCGCCATGCTGGGGCTGGGTGAGCCGCTCCAGTCTTCTCATGCTTTACCTGTGTACCGAGTGCTGTGGCGCCTGCCCGCTCCGGGTCAGCACACACGCCTGCTGGGTTCTTCTTCCCTTTCTTCTTTTTAACGAGTGCTTTAATGGGCTCTGCATCATTCTTTGCTTAACGCCGGGACATGGCCTAAGGAATGCGTGGCTGGGCTGGGGCAGTTCTGTGTGCAGGTGCTGCCTGTGCCTGCACAGACCCAGGTGCCCTCTGTCCTTCTGCAGGGTGAGGGGGATGAACTGGGGGAAAGGGAAAGAAAGGTGGAGCTGTAACGTGGGGTGAGGATGTAGCTCAGTGGTGCAGCGCGTGCTGTGTGTCCGAGGCTCTAGGTTTGATCCCCAGAACTATAAAAAATAAAATAAAATAATTTGCAAGTATTTCCTGGTCCAGTTTGGCATAGGGACGCTGGCCTGTCGTCGAGTTCTCTGGGAGGCTGAGACAGAAGGATCGCGAAGAGTTGGAGACCAGCCTGTATTACATAGACAGACCCTGTCTCCAAACAAAAACAATTATTGTTTTAGGTCCAGGGACTAAACCCAGGGCCATCACACAGAGCCAGGTCCCCAGCCCCTTATATTTTCCTGAATGCTGGGATACTGGTACACTGCCACACCCAGCAATAAATAAAAAGTTAGAAACCTCCTGGCCGTTTCTACTCCTGCTGCCCTGGGTTTCAGCCTTGCCTCGCTGTTAAATTTGAATTCCCAGGTGGAAGGCAGTTGATTTTAGTATCTAACTCACTCATGTGAAGTATTTGAGACAGGGAACCTGGCAGAGCCGCCCTGTGTGTCTGAAATGCAAGAGTCACCACTGAGCCACAGTTGCCAGCTCTGCCCTCACCAGCACCTGACTTCAGGCTCCAGGGAGGGTGACTCACAGCCGGCACTGGAGAGGCAGCCGTCATGCGGGGGTCACGTCCTTCCTGGTCATCGGGAGAGGAAACAGGCTGGGGGGAAGCCCTCCCTCCCTCCCCCTGGTGCTGGGGTCAAACCCAGGCCCCACTTGAGCCTGCCCGAGTCGTCACCAGGCACACTCAGATGCTTTCCTTTTTTCCATCCTGGGATTTGAACCCAGGGCCTTTGCATTGAGCTTATTCCCTTCCTAAACCTTTTATTTTCTTTCTTTCTTTGTTTTGAGACATGGGTCTCACTATGTAGTTGAGACTGACCTGGAACTCACTTTGCAGCTCAGGCTGGTCTCAAACTCAGTGACCCTCCTGCCTCAGCCTCCCAAGTGCTGGGATTACATGTGTGCGCCACCACACCCCGCTTCCTAGACCTTTTTAAATTTTTATTTTTACTTTTTAAATTTTGAAGTAGGGTCCTTACCAAGTTGCCCAAACCAGGCTCCAGCTCACAGTCCTCGTGCCTCAGCCTCCCAGAGTGCTAGGACCACAGGGATGCATGCCCACATCTGACGTCTGGAAATTTGTAATATTTTTGAGCAAAGCAACTCAAATTTTCATTTCCTCTGCACCGTGCAGAGGCCTCAAGGCCCAGGTCCCTCTCAGCCTCTGTCCCCTCACACTAAGGTGTGATGCAAAGCTGGATGTCAGGTACATACCTGTCATACCAGTACTCAGGAGGCCGAGGCAGGAGGATCACCATAAGTTCAAGGTTACGGAAACCCTGTGCCAAAAGACCAGCAAAAACAAGATCTGATGCCATGGGGAGGGAAAATCCTGAGCCGTGTGCTCTTGAGCCCCTCTGGGATCTGCTCACTGCTCACATCTAGACCCCATGGCCTCCTAGGCAGGGCCCATGTGGTGGCCTGGCCGGTGTCTCTCCCCTGGCCCCATCCCAGCTCCATGCACTGCAGGGATTCTAGCAGGGGCACAGTTGACTGCAGAGCCGGACATGGGTGTGCACAGAACGGGAACCAGGACTCCAGTTGTTTATTTCTGGTGATTCTGGGGATTGAACTGAATCCCTGGCCCTACCAGGCTCCCCCATTTTTTTTTTTTTTTTTTGAGACAGGGTCTCACTATGTAGTTGAGACTGACCTGGAACCTCACTGTGTAGCTCAGGCTGGTCTCGAACTCACAGCGATCCTCCTGCTTCAGCCTCCTGAGTGCTGGGATTATAGGCGTGCGCCACCATGCCCAGCTTTTCCTTTGTTAAATTTATTGGTACATTTTAGGTATAAGGTAGAGTTACATTGGGGTCTTGTGCCTTTACATGATGTATCTTGGGTCTTCTTTTTTGCTAGCCTATTTAAAATTCTGAAATCTTGGGCCAGGGATTTAGCGCAGTAGTTCTGCTGCGTGCCTCGCAAGCACGAGGTCCCAAGTTTAATCCCCAGTACCAAAAATAAATAAATAAAATAAAATTCTGAAATCTGAGACAGGGTCTAAGTTTCTGTGCTGCCCAGGCTGGGCTCCAACTCACGATCCTCTTGCTTCGGCCTCCCAGAGTGCACTGCCATGCCATGCCAGGACTCGGGTTTTATCTTCATGTTTGTTTTATTTACCAGACTCTTACTGAGGACAGGCAGTTTGTATCTCGAGACAGGAAGCAGGCACAGAGAGGCTCTCCCACCGGAGCCCTATTCCGGGCTCCTACCACTTGGTCACTGGCTGCCCGTGGATAGCACCAGCCTACACAGCCCAGGGAAGCACGCGCATAACAGCAGTGTGTAAGGCTCAGCACAATTCCTGCGTGTCCCCACCCATCGCGGGTGCAGGCCCAGGTCCAGGTCCACTGCCCTTTTTCAGCCAGCACAGTCACCACTTTCCCGCAGCCTCTCCTGGAGCCTGGGCGGAGTGGCTCCCACCCCCAGCTCTGCCCACAGCCCCCCCAAGGAAGCAGGAGTGGGGGCACTCAGGAAGGGACTGAAGCCCAGCCAGGAGACGGCCCTCTCTGTATGGGTTTGGTGCGGGTCCTGCCTCAGCCTGGAGTGCTGGGCTGCCAGGCTGCAGCGCCTTATCCGGTTCCTCATTTGGTCTTTATTGTAAGCACAGTCTCTGTCCCAAGATCTGGCCATGCTGGGCCAAAACGTGGGGCGGATGATGCTTGGGGGCCTTGCTGTCCTCTGCAAGGCTGTTTAAGACTCCAGCTCTAAAACGGTGCATGGTGGCACACGCCTACAATCCCAACACTCGGGAGGCTGAGGCAGGAGGATCACTGTGAGTTCGAGACCAGCCTGGGCTACACAGTGAGTTGCAGGTCAGTCTCAACTACATGGTGAGACCCTGTTTAAAAAAAAAAAAAAAAAAGACTCCAGCTCTAAAATCCCAGTACTCGAGGCTGGGGCAGGGGGACCCAAGTACCAACTCAGCCTGGGTAAATTAGTGACTTAGCCAGACCGTGCCTCAAAATAAAAAAATAAAAGGGAAAAAGGGCTGGGGATGCAGCTCAGTGCAAAGGCCCTGGGCTCCACCCCAGTCCCAAAGAAAAGGAGGCGGGCCGAGTGGGCCTGCAGGTCTGAATCACAGCAGCCTCTCCTCCCCGGGCCGTCCAGACAGGGAAGGCGGACGGTGTCCCGACCTCTGTCTTCGTTGTCCTTGCCATTGACCTCTCAGCGGGCCTGTGCGTCCCCCCCAGAGCGTCACAGGCCAGAGGCCCCGACATTGCACGGCCCGCTAGGGGGCGCTGCGCACCTGGGACCGTCGGACCTGCTGTCCCCAGGAGCGGTAACGGCGACAGTGACGCAGCCCTCCTGGGTTGGATGAGGGACGCCCCGCCTTACAAGCCAGGCTTCCTCACAGGCCATGGGACCTGATCCCAGGGCGGCCTGGCTGGTCAGGGTTAGGCGTTGAGAACCAGGAGTCACTCGTGGCCAAGGCAGCCTGGCAGAGGTCACAGAGCTCCGTCCCCAGCTGGGCCTGTCTGAACTATCATATTTCTATTTTATTTATTTTTTGAGACAGGCTCTTGATATGCAGTCCAGGCTGGCCTTGAACTACCGTGTACCCCAGGACGGCTTTAAAATCGAAGGAGTCCTCCTGCCTCAGCCTCCTGAGTGCTGGGATTATAGGTGTGTGCCACCGCGCTCGGCCCTAAATTGTTTTTAAAGCTTCAAAACAAAGCCAGATTGGGCCAGGGATTTGGCTCAGTGGTTTCCGCCACCTGCCTCACAAGTGCAAGGGCCTGAGTTCAATCCCCGGTACAAAAAAAAAAAAAAGAGGCGGCTTTCCGCAGTCTCTGATCCTGAGTGATGCACGTTGAAGGAGAATCCTTTGCCCCAGCGATTTGGAAAACCTGAAGAGAAGAGGTGGGGGCTCAGGTAGCCCACTGCCCGACTCCCCGCTGTTCACAGCTGGTTCTCCCCGGGAACCTTCATAAAACGTGGCTCTACTTGTCCTTGTGACGAGGACGACAGCTCTGCCCCTGCTTCTCCCACACCAAGATCCAAAGATCAGGCTTTTAAACAAACATTTAAAATCCTCAGACTCAGGAGGCCTAGGCAGGAGATCATTGCAAGTTCAAGGTCAGAGTGGGCTCTAGAGTGAGTCAAGACCAGCCTGAGCTACACAGTGGGATCCTGTCCCAAAAAACAAAACCAGGGCTGAGGATTTAGCTCAGTGGTGCCACCGCCTGCCTTGCAAGTATAAGGTCCTGAGTTTGACACCCACCCACCACCAAATATATACATATATATATACCACATACACACAAAACCCCAGATCAAGATCAGGCTTTGGTGGGCTTGCACAGCTGTGATTCCAGCAATGGGGTGAGTGAGGCAGGAGAACTGCAAGTTCAAGACCACCGTGGGGTACACAGCAAGGCCTTGTGTCAAAAGCAAGAACAAAATATTTAATCTCGGGTCTGGATTTTTCCCAGAGCTGACTCAAAAGCGGTCCAGGGGTCACCCCGCCCCCTCGCCCCGCTCCCACTCATAAATGCCTCCTGCGGCCCTGGGTGGGAGCTGGAGCCTGGCTCAGCTGCGTTGGGAGGACCTGTCCCAGGACCTGCGGGGATGGGGGGCTGCCCCGGGATCCGGACGACCCCGCCGGGCCCGGCTCCACATCAGCGAGACTCAAAGCTCAAACCTGGTGGGAAGGTGGGGACGCGCGTGCCCTGCTCAGGCCCAGAACCTCCTGCGCACGTCCGCATGGTCCCGGTACCGAGGAGGCGCAAGCTGCAGACGCGGTAGCACGCAGTGTGCAGGTGGGTCCGCAGGGAGTTTAGTTAAGGTAGCCTGTGTGGGCCCACGCCTATCACTCTAAGGCACTGGGAGGCTGAGACAGGCCGATCTCAGGTTAGAGGCCAACCTGGCCGTGTGCTACCGCTTCTCCAGCATGAACTCAGAGACTGTTTCCGTCTGTGAAAGGGAAAGTGAAGACCCCCGCTTCTAGTCCACCCCGGGACGGCGGTGCACAGGGCCTCCGCTCCTAGGCTGTAATGGGTGTAAGGCTGCTCCCGCAGGGCTCTGCGCGTGCTCGGGACCTCGCGCCCCTCC